CAAGTGACTATCATTATAGCACTCCAGCATTTAAATGTGAAAAAAAAATTATATCTCGTACCGTGATTCTAGTAGCGTAGCGCTACGTCAAGGAAGTGGACGGAAGAAAACAGCAACATCAGCAGAAATGGTTGATCGAAACCCGTGTCGCAGTGGCCGAAAATGGTTCGTGAGCTGAACATATCGCAATATTCCATTCAGCAATTATTAAAAAATGAGCTCGGGGTAAAGCCATTAAAATTCCATTATGTGCAAGAACTTACACCGCAATAGAAAGAAAATAGACTCAAAAGAGCTAAAGAGTTTCTTCGCTTCGTCAAAAGTGGTGAACTGCCGAATTTGGTTTTCTCTGATGAGAAAACATTTGTTGTCCAGCTGTTTGTAAACAAACAAAATGATCGTGTTTACTTGCCAAAGAGATCAGCTGGCGACCAGAACTCAGGCGCCGACCATGGTGATGTTGTGGGCCGCCGTAACAGCCGCTCTCCGCTCGTATTAATCGACCGTGACATTAGAATAAATGCCGAAAATATTCTGGAGGGTGTATTAAAGCTTTGGGCACGTAAACATTTTGGACGCAGACCTTGGACAATCCAACAGGACTCAGAACGCGCCACTCAAGAATGGTTACAAAATGAGATTTCCCGCTTCATTTCCAGCGGACAATGGCCACCAAAATCTCCGGATAAAAATCAGTTGGACTATTGTGTCTGGAGTATTTTGGAAAACAAGGTTGACACTAAAAAATACCAAAATGTCGGTCACATCAAACAAGCGCTTCGCCGGAAATGGGCTAAAATACCGCAGAGCAACATTCGGACAGCGTGTAACGGTTTCATTGGCTGTTTGAAGGCCATAATACGTGCCAAAGGTGACCAATTCGAACAAATGTAAACTTATTCTAAAATTTGTTGCTATTTCCGTTATTTTTTGTTTTCATTCAAAAAATTAAAAAAAAAAAAAAATGCAAAAATTATGGCGTTTGAATTTTTGCAGCTTTTTATCTTACTCTGTAATTATTTAAACTTTTGACCCTTTGTGGAGGAGGTACTTGATGGAGTGGACCTATTTTATTTTCATTTTTTCACCTGAGCTAGCAATGATACAAATATTAGAATTTGAAAAGTTGGAGCTAAATCGGTTGATCCTTTTTCTTATGCGCAGTAAAATATTTTTGAAAATGTTGACCTTTTGTGGGGGAGTTATCAGAAGGAGTGGACCCATGTTGCCCATCTTCGAACTCGATCTAAGTTTGACAATAATATGGCGACGTACCAAGTTTGGATCAAAACGGATATTCCCTTCGAGAGAAATCGTACGCACTAGCCAGCCAGACAGAGAGACAGACCAGCGGGCGTACGGACATCACTAGATCGACTCCAAATGTCCTGAAACGGATTTGGTCCAAAGAGACTTGGGGTTTAAAAACTTTATATCTGTAGCCATATGGCTGAGGGTATAAAAAATGTGGAAGATGGGCAAATTCCCTTCCCTCTATTTAGGTTATTTTGGTGTAAACTTTCAACACGCTGACATACGTGTCTTTCATTATTATTTATACTTTCTTAATCTGCAAAAAATATTGAAAGACTTGTATCTTTTGTCAGAAAACATTAAAATATAACCTCAACTTCTAATGCATAATTCCTATTAACTCCACAATATGAGTTAATATGGCCTTCCGTATGCTTTATGACGTGTTTCTAATTTCCTTATTATTTTAGTAGAAGTCTCAATTTTAAACGATATTGGACTTACGACTTTTACCTGAGTTGCAGATAATACAAATTGTTCGTATTTAAAAAGGGAGGATTTTTAATAAATCTTAAATCCTTTGACTTATTTTGTTATATGTTTGAACTTGGCTTTGTGGTTAGTCAGTTTGTTGTTGTGGTTTCCATTTGCCTGTAATGTTGCACGTAATAATCATTGTTACCATTATCAACAGCTCCACCACCGTCATCACAGTGATCACCAACCAAACCAACATCGTCACCGTTGGCGTCATTAGCTTCAATTGTACTGCGTGTCTGCATTTCACTGCACGGCTTTGCGTCAGGTCAAAATAGAATCTTGTAAGGTTGTCGGATAGGTTGGTTGGTTGGTTTGGTTTGACGGTTGACTGGTTACTTGACATGACATTGATTCTTCTTCTCAGTGGCTTTGGGACCATAAAAAAGTTCTTGAATGCTGCTGCTGGATGACTGAATGAATTCAATTCAGCTGTGAGCTGGAATGGTTGGTTGGTTGGCTTGGTTTGCCTTTGCCCCTAAGGAGTCTTCAAAAAGTACTTGTCGACCAACATGGTATTATGTGAATGTGCACAATTACACATTTCCTGATTGCGCTGCTTGGTAAAACTAGGCAGCAGGCGATGCAATAGGTTCTGCTTGGTTTTGGAGTGCATTGTATTCTGGTAACTCTGCACCATTGAAAACTGCCATTGTAATTCCATGATTTTTCTATTACATTTCAATTTGTGTAACTATGTTGTTTTGCGTAGCGAACATTTTCCCACAAGAGGGGGTCACCAACACCACAAGAAACAAGAAACGAATAAATAAAACAATGTTTTAATAAATTTAAGTTAGGTCGTTTAAAAAATCTTACAAAAATTTTGCACTTAAATATGAAAAGTAGATCTAAAAATATAATGTCGGTGATTTAAAAGTTTACACCGCAGTATAAACTAAATTGAGAGACAGTCTGTTATTGGTTCCCATAAGGGGGCTTAACCTTTGAATGTCTTAATTTTACTAAAACAATTTAGTAAACAAGTTTGTTTGATCGTAATCAATTTTTCTAAACATTAGTAACTTACAAAAAATAAGCTGAACGGTTACTGTTCTTAGAGAGCGAAGAGAGATTTTAAAAAATTTGCATCAAGGGGCTAAAATTTACCACCACATAGTTAATTCAAGGCTAATTGTGTCTAACAGGAAAACAGATTGAAACTCGTCACCCATGGAATTTGGAACACTTTATGAACTTTTCTTAATCCGCTCTATTTTTTTTTTAGAAATGTACAGGGTGAGATAAAAAAACTGCAGCAAAATTCACACTGCTGTCATTTCTAAGCCACTCGTCCGACAGCTGGTTAAATTGTTCCAGTGACAGCTCATTATATTATTTACAAGCGTACAAAAGCATTTTGGTGAGAATTTTCCAGAAAAGTTATTCGTGATGGTGTGATTCCTTCACATTTGGCTGGAAAACCACAAGTAGCTATCGTTAGAGCACTCTAACATTTAAATGTGAATAAATCTGTTGTGTCTTGTACCATCGCTCGTTACCGTGATTCTGGTAGAGTAGCCCGACGTCAAGGAATTGGAAGTGGACGGAAGTTAACAGCAACATCGCCAGAAATGGTTCGAAAAGTAAAGAAGCGACTTGATCGATCGAAACCCGTGTCGAAGTGGCCGAAAAATTTCCAGCGCACAATGGCCACCATAATCTCCGGATACCAATCCTTTGGACTATTGTGGCTAGAGTATTTTGGAAAGCAAGGTTGGTTCTAAAAAATACCAAAGTATCGATCACCTCAAGCAAGCGCTTCGCCGGGAATTGGCCAAAATATCGAGATACCGCTCTGTTCTCTTTCTACCTTGATTGTCTCCTTCCTTAAGAATGTGGGCTTGTCGGTACTTACCGACGTAACCAAAGTATCGATCACCTCAAGCAAGCGCTTCGCCGGGAATGGGCCAAAATACCGTAGAGCAAAATTCGGGCAGCGTGTGACGGTTTCATTGGCCGTTTGAAGGCTGGTAGAGTAGCCCGACCCCAAGGAATTGGAAGTGGACGGAAGTTAACAGCAACATCGGCAGAAATGGTTCGAAAAGTAAAGAAGCTACTTGATCGAAACCCGCGTCGCAGTGGCCGAAACATTTCCAGAGCACAATGGCCACCATAATCTCCGGATACCAATCCGTTGGACTATTGTGGCTAGAGTATTTTGGAAAGCAAGGTTGGTTCTAAAAAATACCAAAGTATCGATCACCTCAAGCAAGCGCTTCGCTGGGAACGGGCCAAAATACCGCAGAGCAAAATTCAAAAATATTCAAAAATTTGATGCTATTTGCTTTCCTTCAATAATATTTAAGAAAAAATGTAAAAATTATGACGTTTGACTTTGTTGCAGTTTTTTATCTCACCCTGCATAACTAATCGCTGGTTTTTATTGATGATAGTCACTTAGACAAGGCACTGAAAAATATTGAGATCAATCTCTTCTATGTCCAATCATGCTCCCTACTTAAATAGATTCCCTTCCAACCTGATGGAAAACATTGCAATTTTTAAAATAAATAGAAGGGCATTTCTATTACAAATCACTTGAGAGTTATTCAATTAAGTTATTTATTTCCCTTTCCTACTCTACTCTGTGTGGTGTGGGGGGGCATTTTGCTTTGTGGTGGTCGCTTGTTTGTCCACCACTGTCTGGGGCCGTCTATTAATTGAATTGATTTGTTTAGCAAATAGATGGAATTTAATTGATTTCTTTTAAATGGATTCTTTTTTCAGATACAATATTAAAAAAACTTAACGGAAATAGAAATAGATTTATTAGAAGGCAGAGGCCCCATAGACTGCGATTTGTTAGATGAGAACATATTCAGATGGGTGCCTAAAATTATGCTACATTTTTTAAATTTAACTTTTTCAACCAAGTTGCATTTTTTTTTTTTGATCAGGACTAATAGTTTGTCGCGTTCCACAATGCTCTTACTATTTACCATAAATAAAGCAGGTAGCTTGATTTCAAATCAGGTGATTTATTCATTCTTGCAACCCCCAGTCTTCCTCTTGGCGATGTACAATAGAATGTAACCCATTTATAAACCATTGTTGCATTTTTATATCACAAAGCCTTAAGTGGTGCCACCCAAATGCCGGCATGTATTTTATACAAAAAACCCTGAACTTATTTTACACATTTTTTCGTTAAAACAAAATTAATTAGCAATTTTCAATAATTTCTCTTTCTCTCTTGTCCATTACAGAAACGGTATCAGTGTAGAGGGTGCCACACACAAACAAGTTGTTGATCTCATTAAATCTGGCGGTGACTGTTTAACATTGACGGTTATATCAGTAACGCAGCAAGTAAGTAAAAAATCCGCATCATCATCGCCGTCATTGTCATCATTTGCATGCATCCATACTCATCATTGACATCATCATCACCGTCAATGTCGATAATTCGCTATAACTATTTGGTATAATAAACGTGAGATAAAAAGCAAAGCCAAACAATACAAGGAAGAAGATGTCATGGAAATGTCAAACGTAGCGAGAACATTTTTATGAATAAAAAAAATCAGAAATCACTTTTTTTAATTTGTTTTCTTAATAAAAATCAGAGGCGCTTCGGAACAACGCAGGGTTTTATAGACATGAATAAGGAGGAGTAAAGTTCGGACTTTTCAAAATAGACCATTCGATTAAGAAATGTGGTTAGAAAAATCAATTATAAAAGCTAAAACCAAAATATAACATTTCAGTCAAATCGATTGAAAAATATGGCCTAGAAATTAGATAAATCACGATGATCCTAAATTGTATATAGGTGGTACTCCAAAAGATGGGTCTACATTGGATGGTGTATATGCCACGAGAAAGAAAGAAAGAAAGTTGAAGTCAAATAGATTGGGAAATGGGGAAATTCAAGGTTTTCTATTCCTCCACTTCCATTTTATCAATCGAGATACCGCTCTGATCTCTTTCTACCTCGATTGTCTCCTTCCTTAAGAATGTGGGTTTGTCGGTACTTACCGACGGTTTGGAATTTGGGCCGTTAGGACTATTCAGGTCGGCTTTCTTGGGAGTCTACCCCTGACTAGAAGTCGCAAATTTCGCGCTTATATCTTTGTTGTTTAAAGCTGCATACCAGCATCAATCGATGTAATATTGGTTGGGAATTTGAGGGGGGGGGGGGTTAAAATTTCGTATTCTTGAGTTAGAACTTATCATAGCCTCCGTAACATGGTAGGGGCTCGGTAAGGAAGCCTAATATTCATTGTGGCGCCCAGGTATCAACGAAGCTCCGTTAGAATACAGTCAGTACCCTGACTGCAAACCTGCAACACTATGCACGTAGTTGCATAACACCCCAGCGTTATGTGCTGGACACCAGCACAGCGGTTTGCCTATTTTTGGTGTGTCGAAATATCGCTCTGTCAGTCAGGGTATTGGAACCAAGATTCTTCACCAGACACACTGACTGCCCTCGATTGGTTATTCAATTCACAGCTACCCAGTATATATACGAATAACAATCAGATATGTTCCCCGAATGCGGTAGTTCGTTCGGCTTCAATTCTTGAACGAGCAGTGCATTTTGAGAGACTTCACTCCTAAATACTGTGCGCAACATTTTCCACATTGTTGAGCGTCATAGGTCCAATTGCTGCGAACGGCGATGAATTGATAATCGATGACTGATTCAGCTGTGATATTTTCTTCAGTTCGCAATTTATGTAGCTAAAAAATCACCCACATCTTTTCAAATGTCTTAGGAGTGTTACTCTGAAATACTTTCTTTTTGAAAGACATCCTCAGCGTTCTGACAAATGAGGTCTCAATATTAAGACTCTGTATATTTCCATATTAATACTATCAGCCATTTCTGTCCTTATTATGATTTTGATAATTTTAGAATTGACAAAGAATAATTTTCATATTTCCCCCTTAGGAAGCAGAAAGACTCGAACCTCAAGAAGACCAGAGTGGTTATTCATATATTGACTATTCCGATAAAAGATCATTGCCAATAAGGTATGTAATTGAAGTAACCTCAGTGCCACAATTTTGTAACCCCAATTCCAATCTTCTTGTTTTTTTTTTTTTCAGTATTCCCGATTATAGCATTATAAATCGGAATGGCGAACGTTACATAGTTTTCAACATTCACATGGCCGGACGTCAGCTGTGCTCACGTCGCTATCGTGAATTCGCCAATTTACATTCGATTCTACGCAAAGAATTCACCGGTTTTAATTTTCCCAAACTACCCGGTAAATGGCCATTCCAATTGAGCGAACAACAGCTGGACACGAGACGTCGCGGTCTGGAACAATATCTGGAAAAGGTATGCGCCGTACGGGTAATTGCCGAAAGTGATGCTGTTCAAGATTTTCTCACCGATTCCGAAGATGATATATCCGCCTCGCCAGTCGATATTAAAGTTATGCTGCCGGATCATGAGGTGACAACGGTGTCGGTGAAAAAGTCGGCCAATGCTCATGTTGTGTGGGAAATTTTGGTGCAGCGCGCCAATTTCACCTCGTATACACAACAATATTTCTATTTATTCGAAATTGTCGAATATAATTTCGAGCGTAAGCTGCAACCCCACGAAATACCCCATCAATTGTATGTTCAAAATTATAGTACAGCTTCCAGTACATGTTTGTGTGTACGCCGATGGTTGTTCTCAGTGTCACGAGAACTGACCTTGCCGCAGGGGGAGCAGGCGGCGAAATTTATCTTCTATCAAGCTGTGGATGAAGTCAATCGTGGTAATATCCGGGCCGAGGGACGGCTATATGAACTGAAGGCACTGCAGGATGCCAAAAAGGCATCGGAATATTTGGCTTTGGCCCGCACACTGCCCGGGTATGGTGATGTTGTATTTCCCCATTGTGCATGTGACAGTCGAAAGGAAGGCCATGTTGTGCCGGCAGTTGGTAAGTTTTGCTATGCGATTCTTCTTATTACCGCCACTGACAAGGCCTACAAAAGAAAATGTCAAGTGGTGGTGGTGACATACTTGTGGTATTTGCATTGGTCTTGAGCAAACTATTATCAAAGACAAAAGAGTGACAAGCATATTCTCGATTTTTCGTTTCAAGTACTTACTTTCCTCCTTGTCATTACTTAGTTGAATTCTCATATTACTTGTCATTCGCATATCCTATGAGTATGTCGTCCCATTATGGTAGAAATAATTTATTGATTTTTCTCGTTTCTTTCCATTGCAGGCATGAAGAGTTTTCGTTTACATGCTTGTCGTGAAGATGGCTCATTGGAAGCTCAAATGGTTGAATTAACATGGGACAGCATAACCCGTTGGGAAAGTGATGAAGAATCAATGTCGTTCTGTTTCCAATACAATCGTCCCGATAAACCAGCACGATGGGTTAAGGTCTACACACCTTATGTAAGTGTTTTGTGTGACAGAATCAGAGAAGAATAAGTAAGGATGTAAATGTTTGACAGCAAAATAACAGCGTTAAAAAGGCAAAAGAAGGATAATATTGAATATTCTTCTGTTGTTTTGGAACTGCATTATTTTGGCAGGTCAGACCATTTTCAAAGTGCTGGGTTAGGTTTTGGATGTGCTGCCAGCCATTATTGTAAGATAAAGGGTTGTTGATGAAGGATTGAGGCTTACTTTGAGAATATTCTGATTATTTATTATGTTTGAAATTTTAAATAAATAAGAATGAAGAAACTTAAGATTAAAATGGAAAAATTTAAATCTCTAAAAATGAAAAATCAAGCTATTTTGTTCTTCTTGCACTGTACTTTAACAACAAATTAAGCAACAAATTGATTTTTATTAAACTTTCTCTCCCTTTTAGCATGCTTTCTTGGCCGATTGTTTCGATCGCATAATGGAGGAACGTAAATGGGAAGATGCTGGAGACTAACAATTGCAACGTTATTAGATTTAAAATTCTATGTGTAATTTTAAAATTAAGCAAATAAAAAAAGAACAAAAACATTGCAAATGATGTGAACTCATAGATACACACACACTCTCATATATACACACATACACACAATTTAAATATGTATGTAAAACAATTATTATTATTATTTGTAAAAAAATACTATCTAAATTGACTTCTTTTCCCCTTACTCTCGCTCTCGAAGATCGTTACAAATCTGTATTGTATTTATTTCATTATTCTATCTATAAAATCTATATATACATACAAAAGCATACATGCGTATATATTATATATTTAAATCAAATAATTATTAAGATTATTATTATAATTTTTTGTTTAAAAGTGAACAAAGAACATCAACTAAAAAATATATAAATTATTATTCAAATTTATTTTGGACAAAAATATGAAAATTCGATGAATGTATTATTTATTTTGAAGGAGTTGTTATTTCTGTTTGGTCGCTCAATAAATTTGACTTCACATTTGCCATAGACATAGTTAATAATCCTTTTGGGCAATTTTCTGAAACAAGTTCTACCCTCCTGCACACATTTTTGACATTTTCGAATTAAGATTCTTTGGAATCCGCTGATTTTAGGCACATAATGTCTTCGCGAATATTGCAAATAAAAACACGAGAATTATTTTCAAAGAAAATTTTAACTCTCAAGAGGGTCAACAAGTGTGTATTTTTGTCCTTTTTTAAAATATGGCTAAAAACTCACTTTAATCGTGATGGTAGCAAGTCAAAAAATTCCAAAAAAAAGATTTGTCATAAACATCTACGTCAAAAATCTAAATATTTTGTAAACGCCAGGAATGTATATAGATATATTAAAAAAGACATTTTGGGGTGTAAGCCGTACCGTATCTTATCTGATTTTGTGCAAAAATCTCCTACAAAGAATAATTTTAAAGGATGACGTCAATGAAAAAATATTCTTCATAAAATTTCACCACACATCGATAAAGAAAAGAAATCTCTATTTCTATTGTATATCAAATAAATAGTTTCTTCAATGTTAAAAAAACGAACGAAAATATTTTATTAAGTTTTCCTCGGAATTTATTTCGAGTTGACGTTTTAAAGGAACATCCTTTTGGACGGAAGCGGTCAAAAGAAGAAATATTTTACATGTCACACAAAGAAAGACCAAACGTTATTTACATAATATAGTATCTTTATAAAATAACTAATTGAAGGCATTTAAATGATCCTCTTTGTTTTGGTCTGTATGATACAATTATCCACAGGACTAATTGAATACCCATCAATTCTTTGTAGAAGTCTAATTTGTTTTCTTTTAATATATCAAATGAAGTTTTTCCAGTTTTTTCATCTCACCCTGTAGATATATTAAAATATACATTTTGAGGTTAAAGCCGTACCTTAACTGATTTCGTGCAAAAATCTCCAGGAACATACCTTATAGGTGATAGAAGAACTATTCTACATAAATTTGGTGATCAGTAGTCCACCTAAAAAAAATTCTATTTATTACAGAGATTTATGTGTATCTTTTGTTGTCGATTGTCACACAAGGAAAGGCCAAATGATATTTACATATTATTGAACCTTTATAAGATTACGAAGGCATTAAAATCTTTGGAAAAACAAATGCTTTGTTTGGTCTGTATAATACAATTATCAACAGGACTAACTGAATACCGAGCAATTCTTTGAAGGAGTCTAATTTGTTTCCTTTAAAAATATCAAATGGTAATTTTATGGAGGATAAAATGTCTACATGTCCTAAAGTCTTCTAATCATTGACCCGAAAACCCAATCCACTTATGGAAACCTAAATGGTCCTCTTCAAGAAGACCAAATAAATGGTCTACAAAAAATGCAACAAAGTCAAACGCCATAATTTTTAATATTTTTTTAAATTTTATTGAATAAAAGCAAAAAATGTCGGAAATAGCATCAAATTTTAGAATATGTTAAGATTTGTTCGAATTGGTCACCTTTGGCACGAATTATGGCCTTCAAACGGCCAATGAAATCGACACTTTGGTATTTTTTAGTACCAACCTTGCTTTCCAAAATATTCCAGACACAATAGTCCAAAAGATTGGTTTCCAAAGATTTTGGTGGTCATTGTGCGCTGGAAATGAAGCGAGGAACCTCATTTTGTAACCATTCTTGGGTGGCGCGTGCTGAGTCCGGTTGAAATGTCCAAGGTCTGCGGGCAAAATGTTTGCGTGCCCATGGCCTCCCTCCATAATATGTTGGTGGCCATTGTGCGCTGGAAATGAAGCGAGGAACCTCATTTTGTAACCATTCTTTACCCCGATCTCATATTTCAATATTTGCCGAATGGAATAATGCGATATGTTCAGCTCACGAGCCATTTTCGGCCACTGCGTCGCGGGTTTCGATCAAGTCGCTTCTTTACTTTTCGCATCATTTCTGCTTATGTTGTTGTTTTCTTCCGTCCACTTCCACTTCCTTGACGTCGGGCGACGCTACCAGTATCACGGTAACGAGCGATGGTACGAGACACAAAAGATTTATTCACATTTAAATGCTGAAGTGCTCTAACGATAGCCACTTGTGGTTTTCTAGCCAAATATAATGAAATCACACTATCACGCTTGAATTACATCACGAATATCTTTTTTTCTGGAAAATTCTGACCAAAATGCTTTTGTACGCTTGTAAACCATATAATAATAATTTTGACAGCTGTCGGAAGAGTGGCTTAGAAATGACAGCAGTCTGAAGTTGGTTACACTTTTTTTCATCTCACACTGTATATGATGGCTATACCAAATAATGGAAAAGGGTATATCCTTTTGGAACCTATAACATCAGATTACAGCCAAATTGGTGGAATTACAACTTTTTCGCCAATTTCAAAGTTTGACCTCTATTTTAATCTGAAATATAGACGAAGTGACAGGACTTAAGGTGAGGGTACATAAGAAGCTTGGCATCATAGCTAGGCATATTAATATTAATTTAAAAGGGAAAACAATGGCAGGATACGAGCGCGGCTCTGAGATTTGAATTCTCATATTGAAGTTAGTGTGAATTCAATTTTGTGATTTTACCATATCTATAAATCTGTGGAATATCACTTCCAAGAAATTATTGAGAATGTCTGATTTATTGTCATATGGTATTTGACACCTCGTATTGGAATTGGTGTGAATTTGATTATGTGTTATATACGATTTTTGTTATCATAATTATTTTTATTTAATATTTCTCTTATTTTGTCCATATTAATTTAACTTTTTGTTAGTATTTACAAAATATATATTTTTTGTTTAATTTTTTTGTACAATATATACATAAAACCATACAACCATATGTATATGTTAGAAATTTGTAAAAAAAAACCACAACTATTTTCCCTTTTAAAAATAAGCCTTTAGAAAAGAACAAAAAAATTAATAAATAAACTGAAACAAACAAATAAAAGTCTTTATACATTAACTACTTCTAATTATAAGTACATATATAAAACCATAATCCATTAATTGATTGATTGTAAAAGTGATGATTGATTATTGACATGTTGACATTTTTAAAACAAAAGCGATAACTAAAATACATGTTGAACAAATTTAAACTTTGAATTAACTAAATGCAAATTAAAAAAAAAAAATAATAAAAAGCCATTAAAAGTGATCGATAGTAGCCTGATTGATCCATTTAGTAATATATACATACATATATTTACCAAACAAACATCCAGTAAAAACAAGCATATTATATACACAAGCAATTACAAGAATAAAAAAAAGTAAACTCTACCAATTTCTAAAAAATAAAAATTGTTAACATCTACTTTAAATTAAAAAAATGGAAAAGAAGAAACATAAATAAATCAAGATAAAAACTTTTAGAGAAAAAATAAATATACTAAAATAAAAGAATTCAATTATATACGATTTTGGCTTACACAATTAAATAACCATAACTAAGTTACTTTTACTCCCAATATCTTTCGTTTTATTAGCTCTTATAAGTGAAAGGCAATTGCGACAAAATAATAACCTTCATTATGTAAAGAAGGGTAATAATTTTCCACGAAATTTTTCCAAATTATGTATTTAGGGTTTATAAAGGATTCTATCTCCGGTGGCTGAACATTTTCTATATAGGTCCACGTTTTCCTATGGCACTCATATAAATGTACCCCCAATATTAGGTTTTTCGATAATTTTAGCCGCATTTTTTCAAGATTTTTTTTTTCAATTTTGGTAGTTAGGATTCGAAATGTGGTTTCCTCCTGTGGCATAACATTGACTGTATAGGTCCACGGTTTGTTATAGCCCACATGTAAAGGTACCTCCAGATATTCGTCATTTGGACGATTTAAGATACATTTTATATTGGATTGGTCTAAAATTTACTATTTGTAATTCTTAATGGGTTCTACCTCCGGTGGCCAAACATTGTGTATATAGTTCCACATTTTCCTATGTCGCCTATATAACAGGGAGGTACCCTATTTTCGAAATTTTAATAATTCTACCTCCAATTTCAAATTTGGTAAATAGGGTTTGTAATAGGTTTTACCTCATGTGGCACAGCTTTATATATATATATAGGTACACGGTTACCTATAGCCTCCATATAATGGTACATCCGAATATTCGTATTTTGACCATTCAGGCTAAATTTCTATCGGATTTGTTCGGTATTTGTAGTTCATAATGGATTCTACCACCAGTGTCAGAACCAACAGTCCCATATATAGGTACCGACCGATATTCGGTTCTTTCATGATTCTAACAACATTTTTACAAGTAATTGTTTCAAATTTGGCAATTAAGGCTTGTGGTAGAAAATTGTCTAAATAGGTTTCCGTTTTGGTATTGCTTCGAAAGTTTTAGTCCAAATAACCAATCAAATTGTCTGTAATTTGGCACATCTATTCTCATTGGCTGGAAATTATACCGAAGAAAAAATGTCAATATTGGTCGACATAAGGAATGTGCACAGGGCGGGTTGGCTGGCCTAATCCAAAACTTCGATTTTTCTGACTATACCCTGTTGCAGTACGCGTTAACGAAAATATCTACAGCCTATTATTTTTAATCAAAAATAGTCTCTCTTTGTCGATTTTCCGTTAAATTTTAGATCAAATTATACAAAACACACACACCTTACTTCTACACACCCTAGAAAAATCCAATTAGTCTTACACTCAAGAAAAAAAAAAACTCGAAACACCAATATCACAATCATGTTGTAGTTTTAATATTGATTTTTTGTCTTGTCTCGAATGAGTAGCGATGTAAGTAGTAGTGTTGTAAATTATAATTATTGAGAAAAATATATATCATTATAATACTTTTTAAACACTTACAATTTCTCAAACAATCATTTATCATTTTGTATATTTTAGTATTGCTTATCATTTATTCAAGAATTATTATTATTATAATTTTTTGTTTCCATTGAAAAAAATGTGATCTATAATTAAAACAGAATATATTTTTTAATAAAACTTTAAAACGTCGTATATACATAATGAAACATGATTCATTGTATACTGTAACACAACCATGGACAACACTCAGATTCGACTCTCAATTAGAGTTTAATTCATCTTGTTAGCAATTAAAACAAAAAACTAAAGTAAAATAAAATCTCAAAATGAAAAATAATTTAAAAAATACATCTTATAATAAAATGAAACTATGTTTATGATGCATCCATCAGAAAAATAAAAAAGAAATTAAAACAATGCTATAAAAACAAAATGTTTTTTTTATTTTCAACAGTGTGGGCATGCATTTTAAGCCTCGGCTACAAAGGTTAATATTGAGGGAAGTGCATCGAGGGAAATACAGGGTGCGATGGAAAAACTGCAACCAACTTCAGACTGCTGTCATTTGAAATCCACTTGTCCGACAGCTGTTAAAATTATTTCAGTGACAACTCATTATATTGTTTACAAGCGTACAAAAGCATTTTGGTGAGAATTTTACGGAAGAAAGTTATTCGTGATGGAATTCAAGCGTGATAGTGTGATTTGTTTATATTTGCCTGGAAACCCAGAAGTTTCTATCGTTAGATCACTCCACCATTTTAATGTGAATAAATCTTTTGTGTCTCGTACCATCGCTCGTTACCGTGATACTGGTAGCGTAGCCCGACGTCAAGGAAGTGGACGGAAAAAGAAGGAGCGACTTGACCCCGTCGCATTGGCCGAAAAATGGCTCGTGAGCTGAACATATCGCAATATTCCATTTGGCAAATATTGTAAAATGAGCTCGGGGTAAAGCCATTGAAATTCCAAAAAAATGCAAGAACTTACACCGCAACAGAAAGAAAATAGACTCTAAAGAGTTGCTTCGCTTGGCCGAAAGTGGTGAACTGCCGAGTTTGGTTTTCTCCGATGAGAAAACATTCGTTGCCCAGCAGTTTGTAAACAAACAAAATGATAGTGTTTACTTGCTAAAGAGGTCAGCTTAAAATGTACACCCTCGGTTGGCCACCAGAACTCTAGAGCCGGCCATAGTGAGGGTGTAGGCATGGCATGGAAAAGCAACCAAAATCTCCGGATATTAATCCTTTGGACTATTGTGTCTGGAGTAGTTTGGAAAGCAAGGTTGGCACTAAAAAACCAAAGTGTCGATCACCTTAAGCAAGCGCTTCGTCGGGAATGGGCCAAAATACTGCAGAGCAACATTCGGGCAGCGTGTGACGGTTTCATTGGCCGTTTGAATTCGAACAAATTTAAACATATTCTAAAGTTGTATGCTATTTCCGACATTTTTTGCTTTCATTCAATAAAATTAAAGAAAAAGCAAAAATTATTACGTTTGACTTTGTTGCAGTTTTTTTTATCTCACCCTGTATATAAAAGAGCAGCAGTAGGGAAACGGCCAAAGCTAGAATCTTGAAAGGGTACGAAAAGTAATAAAATACACTAACAATTTAATAATTCGTATGACTAAAACGAAATGAGTTAAAATTCTGAAATTTGGAAAATTTGGAGTCACTGATGGAGTGCAGGATTAATTTATCAAATGGTCTTTGGAAAGTTTAACTGCAAGGTTGCGAAAAGTTCTAAAATGGTACTATCAAAGACCTAAAATGGTAAAGACTAGACAAAATGCATTCTGAGCAAATGGTTTGTGGCTATACTACCTTGAATAACAGCTCATGACAGAGGCATGTTAATATAAAAAACACAATTATAGGAAAGAATGACAAATAAAAGTTTGGATAATCCAAAATATTGGTTTCAAAATTCTATTCCATATACCTTCCCAAATAATTGCATACTGCCTTAGCGGTTTAAATTGCTTAACATTGTTGTTACGATATCATAACAACAGAGGTATTTTTCACAGTATTGCCATATTGTCCTATCTTTATACTTCTATGTCTTTGATAGTTGTTCGAAAACTAAATTTTTGAATTAAATTACTAAACTAAACTAAAATTTTGAACTAAATTTGGTATTGGGTGGAGGGATATAGCTGAAACCACGAAATTCGATATTGAGGACTTTGTTGGTATCTGGTGTGATTGTTTGAAAAGTACTAATCTTGGGTCACTGTTGGTTTCTAGGATGGAGAGATGTAGATTGTTTTAGATATGCCCACTAAATTTTTCTAAATTTAGTATTAGGTGAAGGGATAAAGCTGGAATCCCGAATTTTGGTATTGAGGTCACTGTTGGTTTCTAGGGTTTACATATGGGGACGTTATTATAGTTTTGGACATTAAATTTAGATGTGGGTCCAATGTGCAATGGTTTTACTCATATCCTCCTCGGTAAACTTCAAATTGAAAGATTTTTAAGGCTTTTGGTGTAAAAGCTACACATGTTCCTATTATTCTTTCCGAAACAAGGAAAACCCTGAATAATATATAAAACATTGAGTCTGAAAATTTTGTACGATATATGAAGTTTTCATTAAAAAACGTTGTCGACTATCTATATTTGAACATCGACTATCTATATTTGAACAAGCCCCAAAAATCTTCAATTCCATAATTACATCTTATCTTCGACTGAAATGAATTAAAATTCAAATAATTTGTTAATTAAATACGGCTTTCACATAAATAAATAATGATTTAATAATTCAACAAATATACCATTAATATAAAGTAAATAAATTGTTCATAACAATAGCAAGAGCATAGATATCAAGCAAACGTGGGTGTTATCATTGTTGTTGTTTTTATTGTTGTAAGTGTATCACACGGCAATTCCAAACGTTATTTTTTGCGTCATAACTGCTTTTATTGTTTTATATGGCATTAATTGAAATTATCAGATTCCAGATAGTTATAACAAATACCAAAGTGCACATTCAACCTGTATTCAATTCTGAAGTGTTCGGTACTCCATACTGAGATGTGGAACAAATGCCTTGGGATCATATGCAATGATATAGAATGAAATGCACGAGCGACCAAACAATGACTTAGACAACAACAAAGCACCCAGGGCAAATAGTATCTAAAGTCAAGTGCAGATAAATCTATTGAATTATCTGTCAAAGACTTGTTAATTGGTATTGAAATGTCGGTGGGAGAATGTCATGGATACAGGGTGTCGGAAAAGTGCTTTTCATATTGATGTATTGTAAGAAAAAGTGACTTGAGTTTTCTAGATAAATTAATGTAAGGCTAATCACCGAGAACATTTTTGGATAACGCTTCGTGGCTAGAGATATCAGAGATAGGAGGTATGAAATGACACCTGGAAACCGGTTAGGTAGATCTGGGTCTAACCCGGGTGAAAATGTAGGCAACCGGCTGTGTTTACCAATAAAATATACTTTCCCGGAATCAAGATATAAATGTCCAATTGTGGTTGTGCAGTTGTTACTTAACTAGAGTTGAAGAACAAACCTGAATTTTAAAAGAATATTTTGCTATAAACTCTACTAACGTAAATTATACCCTCAGCCATATGGCTACAGAGGGTATATATCATTTGATACGGTTAAAACGTGTTTAGTCGAAACAACGGTTTTAGACCCCAGGTCTCTTTGGACCAACTCCGTTTCAGGACATTTAGAGTCGATTTAGCGATGTCCGTCCGTCTGTCTGTCTTGCTGGCTGGTGCGCCCGATAACTCTCGAAGGGAGTATCCGATTTGGTTCAAACCTTGTACATCGTAATATTTTTGTCAAACTTAGGTCGAGTTCGGAGATGTGCAATATCGGTCCACTCCGTCTGGTACCTCCCCCACAAAAGGGCGAAATTTTCAAAAAATATATTTTCTGCACAGAAAGAGAAGTGATGATCCGATTTTGCTCCAACTTTGCGAATCCTAATATTTTTGTCAGTGCTAGGTCAAGTGTAAAAATAGACAATATCGGTCCACTCTATCAAGTGCCTCCACCACAAAGGGTCAAAATTTTGAATAATAACAACTCTAATAAAATGTGAAGTAAGAGTCCGATTGTCTTCAAATTTCACACATCCCAATATTTTTATTAACCCAAGGTCTGGTGTGAATGTGGAATACATCGGTCCACTCCTTCTGGTACCTCCCCCATAAAAGGTAGAAATTTGCAAAAAATATATTTTCTGCACAGAAAGAGAAAGAATGATCCGATTTTGCTCGAACTTTGCGAATCTCAATATTTGCGTAAGTGCTAGATAAGGTGCGAAAATGGACAATATCGGTCCACTCCATCAAGTACCTTCACCACAAAGGGTTAAAATTTTGAATATTTATAACCCTTATAAAATGTGATGTAAGGATCCAAACGTCTTAAAATTTCACACATCCCAATATTTCTGTAAACTCAAGATCTGGTGTTTACATGGAATATATCGGCCCAATCCTTCTGGTACCTCCCCCACAAAATGTCGAAATTTTGAATGCCCATGTGGCTCATAAAACGACAAATTAACATCCGATTCCATTTAGACTTGGCACATTCTAATATTTCTATCAACACAAGATCTGTTTGAAAGATGGTATAGATCGAGCCATTTCTTCTGCTACCTCCCCCATACATAAGGTTCAAGATTTTGAAAAACAAAATGCTCGAATAAAGCGAAATAAGCATACAACTCTCTACAAATTTCAA